AATTCTGTCTCCCACCTCCACACCTAGACAAAAATTAATATACTTTCTTTCCCTGTTTAAACATTTCATATAAACAGGATCATACATTTTGTGACTTGTGACTGAATTCTCTCACTAGGCACAAGAATTTCAAGGTTTGTCCATTTCACAGAATGCACAGTACTTCCTTTCTTTAGACTGTTCAGTAATAGTCCATCACAGATGCACCACCTTTATTTGCCCATTCATTAGAAGATAGTCACCTGATTTGTTTGCATTTTTTTCAGTATCTACAAGTAGTGCTTCTATAAATCCTCATGCAAGACTCTCTTGATGGGCTCACAAGTCTATTTTTATTTCCTTTGAATATATATACTTAGTAGAATAGGTGACTCACATGGTATCTTCATGTTTAACCATTGAAGAAGCTTCCAGAGTGCTTTTTGAGCTCTTTCTATGGATTCCAAGACCTGCGTGCCCTCAGCAGCACCTTCTATGGACTCTCTTTGATTAGAACAATCCTGCATGCACGAAGTGCCATCTCACTGTAATTTGGAGTGGGACTCTTTCATGGTTATGAAAGTGAACAGCTTTTTATGTGACTACTGGCAACTTGCTTATCTTCTTTGGAAAAATGACTAATCAGATCCCCAAAGCCTATTTGATAGGATAAGTAGTTTGCTGATTGCCGAGATGGACAGGTGTGAGAAAGAAGCACATACTTTTATCTATTTGAACTTCTGGTTATTTTGATGCTCCAAATCATGGGACTTGGAAGGCTCCTTGGCTTAGCTGCCTTCACAACAGGATTGACTATCGACTGATCCACTTGCATGTATTACTTAGACTGATTCCTGAACTTGCTAGTCACCAAAAGCACCTGGAAAAATTGGTAAAGTGGAGATCTACGGGAAAAGACCACTCAATTTGAATTCTGGGTGAGGCTCAGAGAATTAAGTAAAAAGAAAGCACATTTCTTTCTGTGATGCTTTCAGATTAATAAATAAATGAATAAATGGATAAGTAAATAATCTTTTCAGTCAAGAATAAATGGATAAACAAATAAATAATCTCTTTAGACAAGAAAAAAGAAGTTTGCCAGACATTTTTAATGATACTTTTGTTCTGGAAATGACATGCACTCCTGGACTGCAAGAATAAGACCTGAACCCTACTGGGTGCCTTCTTGATTGATCTGGTACAGCAATCACTAGCAGGACTTCTGGCACATTTCCACCTGTACCCTCTCCCTCAAACTGTCACTCACAAAGGATGAGGAAATGGTTGTATTAATATTTCATTTCTCTCTGTTATCCAACCTTACAAGAATAGTCACTGAAAAGTGGTAGGAAGTGAAAAAGAGAAAAATGTGGAGGTATGAAAAGAATATTGTTTGTGAAGAAATGTGAGCATAAAGTGCAGAATTCACTGCAAAGATCAATAAGAATTTAAGTCAGATCTCCACAACTGGAAAGCCTATAGACAGATGGGTCTAAATTTGTGCTGTGTTTTGGCCTAGCTTAATTACATCTGTTTGACCTAGTTCAATTACATTCTGTCAGCCAGCTTCAAAAAAGAATCTTGGAAGCTTGAAGCAGGAGTATTATATTCATTCAGGCAGTGAGTATGCACAAACAAACCTATTTTTCTCCCTTTGGTCCTTATTTCTTACCCTTTGAGATCCAGACTCTGTATCCCTGCAATCACTTCTGAACGTGTCTTTTCAGTGGTCACCAAGGCAACTCACTGCTTGGTTCACCATACTCTTTTCAAGCCCTTTTCTACCTGACTGCTCTGATGCATTGGAGCCCACTGACATTCCCCCCTTCCTGAGTGTCTGTGTTGTCTCAAGGCCAGAGTGTGGCTTGCTCTTCTCTGATCCTTCACAGAACCTGCCTGTGCTACAAACATCTCCATGCTGCACAGTGCTCTGAGCTTAGCATGGGGCTAAATGCCAGGTTAGCAACCTGAGTGAGTTTCAGTTTAGTAAGGATCCTCCCTTCTCCCAGGATCCTTACCTACTCAGGCAAAATTATGCCCTAAGTTCTCATCTGCTTAGCTCTTGTCTGCTTTCAAGTTTTCCCCCTGGAGTTTTGGCTCATCTCTTTGGAGGAAGGTCCTGGTCATGGAGCGCCTCAGTTTGGCATCTGTGCCTGCTGTGGCTTAACCCAAGCAGCCTTCCATTGCAGTCATATTTCTTTTCAACTGGCATTTGCTTCTCTGTCTAAATTGGCCTTCTGCTTGTTCATTACACACACCTTCTGCTTCAATGTCTATGGTTCAAACATACGGTTTCCATCTGTTAGAAAGCTCCTCCTCACATATATGTCTGTAGAAAAACCTCTCTCTCTTTTGGTTCTTTTCAAATGCCACCTCTTGCCAGGAGACTTATCCGATTCCTTATGCAGTTTTCTACTTTCAGAAACTCAACAATACTCTTTCTACCTCTTTACACATGCCACACAATGCTTCTCTTAAGTCCCTTATTTTGTCCTGAAATGTGTGCCTATCTTATCCTTTGTTGTAGCTGGAGACTTCACAAGGCAATGACTGCACTGTTCTGGGTTAACTCTGAATTCTGATGCGGCTTGGCTTTCATGGAAATTCACAAACATGGTATAAATACTCTTGGGGGATTATGCTTAAATTTATAGACTCCAGGGAAATTGTGAACATAGCCTATTTTTCCTATCCCTCCAAGTCAGCAATATTCTTTCTTGGAAAGTACATTTAGAAAACAGAGTTTTCAGCATCAGAAAAAAAGCAAAATAATTCCCCTTTCCCCCCAGATGTATTAATCTGCAGATGGCAAAGATGTCCTTTCTATTCAGGAGCAGAGAAGTAGTGGCAGCAGTTCCAGGAAACTGCTTGTGATGAGCTCGTAAGGGCACTTCCTCAGCTATCTTCTCACAGTTCCAGGGGAATAAAGTTAATCACTTTGGGATGAAAGAAGAAATAAACAGAATTCTATACAATTTTCCTAAAGTTAATCTGCTATTTTCTCAAAATTCAATAGTTCTATTCATAGTAATGAGCTACTAGGCATGATAATCTGGGCATATGTCCTGATTTTGAATAAACTGCACAAATGGAGTTTTCAAATCATGAATCTCACTCAAAGTCAAAACTCCTTAATGCTTTATTTCACCACTGTGAATTTTCTTTACATAGGCTGTTAAGAAAATGTGCAAAGAATGACCAGGTCAGAGTACTTTTATTGGAAAGAAGGAGAAATTGAGGACTTGCTCTACCCACACCTGCCTGACATGATGGAACAGGGATTCCTAAGTGGAGCATTTCAAGCCTGGTCCTCCAGAGATGCCAACGGAAAGACACTACTGCTTTACTCTCTGTATATTTCATTTTTATTAAGGTAAAGGCTTCTAAATTTGCTTTTGATAAATAAATTGACATTTGCTTCTGTTGAAAGCCAAGAAACCAGGGACAGTTCAACAGGCAAGTGGGGATTCTGAATTCCAATAGGTCCATGCAAGAATAAGCAGGGGCACTTGGAACATGGGGCTTCCCACAAACAACAGTGAATGGTAAGAAATGGAAGGCAGTGATTTAAAAGGTAAATAGCAAACACATGGGTGGTCAGAGTACACACTATTCTAGAAACAGCTGTTAATGCATCATTATTTTAACAGTAACAAAACATAACAGAACACTTCCAAAAGGTCATGGAAAGTGGAATTAAAAGATAAGCTTATTCTGATGTAAAACCCTATTTTGGTATCCAGCCATAGTTTTTCACAATATCCAATTGATGAACTTTTTGAAGACTGTTTATATGTATGGATCTCTCTTTTTTTTTTCCTCACCAAAGAAAATGTATCTTTTAATGCCATTTTCTACAAACTGTTTAAAATACCTTCAGGTACATTTTAAGGGAGTAGCAAAAGTTAGGCCCACAGAAAGGCACATTTCTTCCCATGGATCCAGTGGGCCTGGCTTTGGAGCTCTCAGCTCTGCCTCTGTGAGCTGAGCTTAACAGCAACTGCAACAACACCAACAACACAGTCATACTGATCAAAAGTGAGACATCTTTCCTTGAATATTATTCAAGATATCTGTATTTACAGGCCATATGAGCCTTTGGGCCACTTTCTTAATAACTGCTTCAAATACACTAAATGTATTGAGCAGATGCCTTTTATTCTGGCATTTCTTGGAGAAATCTTCTAGCATTTGCATAGCAAACCACTGTTAAGAACATCATTAATCTATATCTACCATCTGGAATATAAATAAAACACATAAAAAATTAATGTTTAAAGAAGATTAAAGTATATAACAAGTGGTGAACACTGGGGGAAAAGCCATTTACGGTGCTTGCTACCGGGGGAAGTATCATTTTAAAAAGGGACACATAAAACAGAAGTTGGAAATATAGGTTTAGTTTCATTAAACATGAATGTTTCATTTGTAAAATATATTTCATCATTAAAACAGACAAGGTAAAAGAAAATCTATATAATATTCAATCATGATTCTTAAGTCATTTTTACTTAAGAAAAAACTGAAGTGTTTGCTAAAAGAAACAACCTGTTGGATAAAAGGGATAGGTACTAGTAACCTCAAAATCTTAAAATGATTCCATGCACTCAAATAACACATAAAGGACAGGTGGAAATAACTAAAAATATTGTATTTCTGTTAGTGGTGACTGCTTTCTTTCCTGTCCAGAGATCTTTTAATATTAATCTGTGTACATTAGAATACCTACTAGTTCATAAAAGTTTTTTTTGAAAAAAATACATAATGATGATTTATGTGGATTTGTGAAAGTTGACTATTCCTAATTTCAAAAATAATCATGGGCACATTAAAATGATTTTTGCCTTAATTTCTAAAAACATAGAAGAAAAATATTCTGAGAAATGACCTCAGGAAGAATGCATATCACCATTTGAATTTGGTCTAAGTATCACACAACAACTTTAGGCTATAACTTCTCTATCAATAAGCCACAAAAAAGGAATTGTTTTCATTAGGATGTTATAATCTTTGGAACTTACTTTCAAAATCCAGGAAAAAGTGTGGATAGTTTTCAATTTCCCTGGTAAGGACTTTGAGCAGGTTTCCCATCCCAGCAAACCTAGCAGAGACAACACAAAAATAAATACCATTAGCAACAGAAAAGTCAGATTGGCATGAAAACCACCAGACCTCCTACAGCTACGGCTCAAGTGCCACAGGAAACATCTCCATCTTGGGCAATGTCTAGTAACGTAGCAACCCGTTCCTCCCAGGTCCTGAGTCTCTTAAACACGGGGCATCCGGCTTAAAGCACACAAATCCCGAAGATGATGCAAGGGTCATGAGGTCTTTCTGGAGAATGCACTGGCACATTGCATTCATTCATCATGCTAATACGACAAAGAACACTGATTACACTGTTAGGTGTTTTAGTTACAGACGTGTTCTGCACAGTGCTTCTAGCGGCTTCCCCTTGCCCCTTTTCTAGTCCTCTGACTCCTTACAGTTACTATTTATGCTTTTTAATTTTTCCCCTCCCCTTGACATGTCAACAAACAAGCACAACCAAGAGGGCATTATGAAATTATTTGGAAAAATGAGTTTCTTCTGGTTCATGAAGTGCAGGGTTCAGCAAACACTCAAGCCCAGGGACTCATGTTAACATGCAGAGGAGATCACATTTCTCAGAGGTGTAACTCTTGGAAAGTGAGAAGTCGCAGAGATGTGACAAGAGACTGGACGCTCTATGAAGCACAAAAAAGAAAAAGCATAAAATCCAAAAAGTTATACTCAAGGGAAATCAATGTCTAAAACATTTGCAAAGGTGAATCAGATCAACAGAGAAATAGAAATTTACATGTCTGTAATCACAACCTACAAAAGTTGATAGAAGGTAGAATGTAGTGGTTTTGTTTCATGTCATTTCATTGTATTTTCTTTAAAGTAACTGGCAAAATTTCTATTGCTCTCAACCGAAGTTGGTGGCAGACTGAGATACCAGGTCCCTAATGTTAGGGACATCTGGCCTAAACTGCAGAAAGCATGACAATCACGAAAAGGACATGAAGTGTCTTTGGAGAACAGACTTGAACTCTGCATTCATTCATGATGTTAAAACTACAACAAAGTACGCTGCATTGGAAGAATCAGTATTTAGGCACTGATGCCAATTATATTCTGTGAAGAGCTTTCCGAACTTTCTAGAAAAGAACTGTCTTCTAAGCGAGGCCATGCATCCACTCATCTTCTCATCTAATTGGCCCACCTTTATGGAGAGCCAATTGGCCATCAGGGCGGGGCTTGGTGGAGACTACCCATCTAACTCTTCTGTAAATGCAACTCTTGTGATGCATTGACCTGAAAAAAATCACTACAATCACAACTTGCTGCCCATCTGGCTTCTAAGAGCTTTAACCCTGATGCAAGGACCTGTAAGATTATGCTCCTGTTATGCTCCTGTTATAAGGATGTAATGAGAACAGAATGCACATGAAGGATGAGTGCAGGAAATCACAGCCAATGGTGTCTTCCGGTCTCTACCAACCTCCCGTCAGAAAACAGGCATGCATTTGCAGGTGTCTTCCAGGGGACAGCACACTACCATGAAGCCAGGAGGAGTCCACCAAGAAATCTCCATCCCTCGTCACACTGCCTGATCCTGACCCCAGCTCCTTCCTGCTTGTATGTTGTCCACGGCAGGATATTCCATTTTTGGAGATCTCAGTTTCCTCCTCTCTAAAAGAACTCCTGAGAAGCATTTATTTCAGCAAGTTGTGAGAACCAATGAGATAAGAACATGAAATGCTTGGTACAGCACTTACAAGGAGTGCTCAAGAGATGTTAGATGTTCCCTTCTTGCTGAAGATGATATGATCAGCACATCAGCCTCACTGTTCTAACAGCCATCAAATACTCACTGAGCGTTCTCTTAGGCAAGATGGATTAGAGAGGTCCTATGTGCCTCTAGGCAAGAGAACTAAGGCCAATGAGGAAATAATGAGGCACATTCTCATTCAATGTCATGACAAAACATTTCTAACCATTACTGTTGTTTGAATATTCGGTGATATGTCTTATGAAATACTGAACTTTATCTCATCAGTGATATTTAAATAGAAATAGCAGTTACATAAGCCATTCATAGTGTTGTAAAAATGATAATGTGTTGAGCAGAAGGTTGGACTAGCTACTTCTGAGACTTCCCGTGCTCTGAGAATGCATGAAGTGGGTATGCACACACACACACACACACACACACACGCACACACTTACGGATAAACACCATATTTTCTGTCTCAAGAGAAGCTTCCCTATCATTTCTTTCATTCTTCCTTTTTTTCCCCTCTCTGACTTCATCCATATTTTTTTCAAGATATTTTGAGAAAACCTGTGGCAGGCAGGGTCTGGCAAAGTACAGTCCAGAACTGATGTGGTCCATTGCCACTGCCAGATGTCACTCACAAACTCTCGTGTGAGTGCTTACGCATTTGGTTTTCTCATGCATTCTATCTATCTATCTATCTATCTATCTATCTATCTATCTATCTATCTCTATCTATAATGTAATTTCTACTTTTTCTTTCACTATTATTATTGTTATACCATGATACAATTCCATAGGCTCTAGGATTTCCCTTTTTCTCTCCTCAAATTGCCTCTCTCCAATGATTTTCCCCATGTCATTACGATAGTATAGTCATTCACAATCAGTCATATGTTCACCATTCAGCTATTTAAGTGTATCCTGACATTGTAGGCATGGACAATGGCAGGGACTCAAGTATCTTATTGTCAAGATACATTTAGTAGTTTTGTTGGGAGTCCATCTTTGATTTAGAAGTAGAGATGCACACTACATTTTATCTTCACAATTGTATGTAATAGTCTCAACTACACATCCTCTTAAATGAAAATCCATAAAGCAAAATCAACAACAGAGAGAAAAATAGAAAATTTACTGCAACATGAAGTTAAATAACGTGTTACTGAATGACCAATATATCACTGGTTTGATATTTTTATTTTATTTTCCTGCACTCAAAAACAGTTTTTTTTTTTATTAATTTCCTCACTGACTCATAGGTAATACAATAGCATCATTTACTTCAGGAAGGTCTTTGATTTTCTTTATCCATTGGCTTTTAATGTTTTAAACAAAGCAAAGGAGAAATAGCTGGCTCTTTTCAAGAACTGATGTTTAGAAGATAAGAACCAGTAGGTTAGTCTAGAGAAGGTCATAGTTTTTATGATTAAGTGGTGCTCTTTGGTAACAGAGACTTAAGACTGAGCTGTCTCCTTCAGCCACAGTAAAGGCTACCTTGCCGGGGGAGTCACAGCAGAGGGTGAACAGTCTCAGAGTTCCCACGGGCAGAGCAATGGTCTCACAGCCACACAGCAGTAGCACAGCTTCATTTCATAATCCCGAGTGTATTCCTCAAAGCTGGGAATTCTGGTTAACAGGTTCCATCCAGTACCTTCATGGCTGCCCCCATAACATGACCTGCTCCTGGTCTGTCTCCAGGGGTGCCAGCTGCTTATGTCTCTTCCTGAAAGTCAGAGCTTCTGTGTGAGGGGATACAGCGATTCAGCTGAGCTCTGAGCTCACAAGGAAGACCTTGACCCAAATCCTTTAAAAGAATGATGATTCTTGACACTTTCTATAGGTAAAGAAACTCTATGTAAATTCAGGATTTCCTCAATCATAGAAGAGAGGAAAAATTATTTGAAGAAAAATATATGGCAAACAGTGACACAAAATATAAAACTATTAAAAATAGATTCCATAGAGGATGCTAATCGAGTTGGATCAGGAATAAATGATTCTAGTAAGCCATCTGTGGGCATGTTGTCATTGGAAATGGATCAATTGCTTCGATTGTGACAGTTAACTCCACAGTGCATGGGCGCACACAGTATGACTCCTTTGGCATCTCTAGAAATCCAGGAATCATTTCTGTAGTGAAATGCCCACTATAACATGTTGTAGTTACAAGGGCACACATGCAGATGCCAAGACTGAAGAACATGTCATTATTGGAAATGGGTGAGTTGCTTAGGTTGTGAAAGCTAACTTCATAATGCATGGGTCCACATAGAATGACTCCCTCAGCATCCCTGGAGATCCAGAGAACAAATCTATAGTGACATCCTGACTGTAACATGATATGGATACTGGGGTTCACGCAATAATGCTCAGGCCTGCGTTACTATAGAAGACAATGGCAGAGACTACAAAGCTTTGGGTAGCAAATGAAAAGGCAGGAAAGGATGTATTGGCTGGAAAAGTCTCCCTGAAGGGACGGGGCCCTGGTGTCAGCTCCTGGATCCCGTGAGTGCCTGCTTTGGACAGCAGCACTAGGAGGTGGTCCTCCTTTCCGGCATGACCACTCTGGATGCCCTCTGTTCTGCAGAGGCGCCAGTCTGCCTCTATGCCTGGACGTACAGATGTATCATCTCTACCAAAATGAAGGTAAGCAAGCATCTGGTCATTGGATCCTCGGCATTTTGGTTTCAGCTATTGACTGGGCCTAATTTCTATGACTTTATAAGCTGAGCTTACTAATAAACACACAGCATTGAGAATGCGACCACAGAGTAGTCCAAAATTACAATTTGATCAACCAATGTGTCCAAAAGATGTGTAGGGTAAGCAGCGACTGGACAAAAGCATAAAGAAGAGCGTTTGTAAGAGCTTCACAAACACAAGGCACCATCTAACTGCCTCATTACTGCACGGCAACTCATTTTAGCTGGGAGTCTTGTGTCCCTCATCTGCTGAACAGTGACACAACTTTACTTCCTGGGGGAACTCCCACCAGAGCTAAACACACAAGTGTAAAAGATTCATGTGAGCTATAAAATACTGCGAAAATAAGAGCGGCAAGGAATCTCATAAATGCATGTGACACTCACAGTCCTTGCATTTTCTAGCTTTCACGTTTGCTTTCCAAAACTCCATGGATCATTTGTTCACAACAACCTACAATTAAGTCAAGGTTTCCAAGAGGGGTTTTTCTGCACAACATACCACATTTTACAAATGTTCGCATATTTTGTCATCGAAGATCTATTAGGAGATAAAATTTTTATCAAACTGGAAACTCAAGCCTGTTAAAGTTA